GCGTGCGCTGCCGCTAGAAAACATAAACACTGGGGAAAGCGAGAGTTCTGTGGCGCAAGCGTCAGTTTTTGCTGTCAGCTGCGCGTTGATTGAGCCTCCGTCCAACCGCTGTGCCTGTGGTGGAGGTCCGTATACGCGGTTTTGCGAGTCAGCAGACGACTTCTTCAATCAAGTGGCTCGTCTAACGGAACGAATTGAACGCAATGAAGTTGTCCATTGCGACAGCTGTCGCAGCGCTGTGCGCCCTGCTGGCGCTCGGTTCAGCGGCTCTCCTGGGCGCACCGATGAAGCACGACGCTAAAGACTTTGAAAACTATCTCGACAAAGCTCACTATGTGGCGGCGACGCAGGTGGACGGCCGCGAATTCTACGACACCGTGGTCGAAATCCTCGAAGCCGAAACGCAGGTGAGCCTCTCGGCAGGTATCGGCGGTTGTTCGCTGTCGCGCGCGGTTGCGACGGAGTCGCGCCACTGATGCCCGATTGCATGCTCACTCACTCGCACGTGACTCTAGCGTCGTGCAATCCTTTTGGACTGCCGTAAAATGGGGTGACTGTGACTAAGCAAAATGGCGCGACCCGCTACCATGCAAGCGAGTTGCTTATCTCACCCAACCAGCCGCGACGAGACGAGGGAAACCGAATGGCGGCCGCCGCTCATTGCGCCATCTTGCTGGTAATGCTGAAAACAGCACTGTTCCCCCCTCCCCGAGATGCAAGTCACGAGCGGTAAGTAGTAGATATAAATAACTTGCCGTTTGAACGTTGAATGATGTGCTCCTCAGTGGATAATGCCTCGCACTCACGTTTCAAAGGTCCCACGTTCGATTCCGCACTCCGGAGTCTTTTTCTGGATTATTTTTTTTTCTTGCGTTTTCATATATATAAACATGTAAACATATACGGTGAGTGACGGCGACTCCCACATCGATGGCAAGATCTAGCTGAGAGTGTTCATGTAATTGCTATGGTAATAATAAAGAGCTTGATTACATGTCTTCACGATGAACGTTTTGTGGTTATGCACTAGGAAAAAGAAAACTCGTTGCATATAGTGTAATGTGTTGATGCATGCTCGTAGGTTACAATTTATGTTTGTGAGAGCTATGCACATGTGACGTATGATGTCGTGGAGTGCATATGCTAGCGGGACCTGCGAGTAATAAACTGTTGCTGAAAGTTAGCGCTGTGTTGTCTTGAATGTGCCTTCTCTTGTCCATGTCCTTTGTTTGCGCTACCGTATATTATCATGTGAACAAACACGTACGTATACAGGATTCTGGAAACGAACAGGTGTGGAAGCTTTATTACTTATAACATCTGTTCCACGCGTTGAATCACAAGGGAACAATACATTGCACCAGTGAAATGCCATTCTAAAGCGAACTTACAATACAATAGGGGCACATGACGTGAAAATTGAAGCACGTATTGTCAATAGTTTAGAATGCTGAAGCTGTAATTTCAGCTGCTCGAAGCATTACGTTTATTAATAGACTTCGAGCGTGTTGTCTCGTTGTGCTCGCCTGTGTGCTCTACGTTTACGGTACGTTGCAATTTCTTTTGTGGTCGTTGAAGAGTGCAAACGTACTTATCTCTTACTGTAAAACGAAGTTTTGGTTTACCAAGTGGGTAAGGTTTTGCTTTATGTTCTAAATACTCTCTGTATACGTTTCTACTGTCATGCTCTTTTGGTCTTCTGCAAACAGCACTGTATACAAGCAGCAGCTGACCCCAAAATGATGCTCTGCTTCTTGGGTAAAGGCGTTTTTAACCGTACAGGGATGGACTGGACACACGAAAAATAGAGAATGCAGACTTACAAAATGTAGTTGTCAGTCTGTGCTCTGTGTTTTTGGTGTGTACAGTTTTGTCCCTGTATACGGTTAGAAACACGTTTAACCAAGATGCAACACCAACTATAGCCTTTGTAGCTACTCATATTGCTTTTGCTTGACTTGCTCTGTATAGAAAATAGCCAGCTTGCAAAAAAAACAAAAAAACTAAGGCATCTATATGGTCTATACTTACTATGAGTATTTGACATATATCAGAGACTTCTTTGAGCTATGCAGGCTCGAATAAAAAAAAAAAGAGAGAAGCAGTCCACTTGCTATGGCTGCTTCATCGAAATATTTCGCGTTTATCACGGTATAAAAGCTATCTGCTGTACAACGCGTAAAGCTGATGTCAGAATTGCACATTTTGGAAGAATTTCTGTTTGCAAAGAATTGTATTCCTAACCCTAATTTCCGGCTGTATAGTGGCTGACGAACGCTGCGAATTACATGAAAGATGCCAAGCTGATTCAGACAGAAAACAGCGTTCTGGGGACGGACGTTATTACCTATAATAATACTGTACGCTTACTTTAATAGAGAGCATTGATGCTAGATGAAAGAAAAATGCTGCGAATTACATGAAAGATGCCAAGCTGATTCAGGCAGAAAACAGCGTTCTGGGGACGGACGTTATTACCTATGTAGCGAAGCCTCCGAACGATGAAATGGGTCGAACCCTTGAGTACCTTCTAGTGGGGCTACCCAACAAGGACGCCGCTCGCGCTGAGAGCCCGTGCTTGGCTGTGACTGTCGCCATTGTATATTCTCGCTCGTTGCCGGCTAATAAACGCCTTAACACCTATAATAATACTGTACGCTTACTTTATTAGAGAGCATTGATGCTAGATGAAAGAAAAAGAGAAAGAAAGTCTGCAGATCCCGGCGGAATATCAATGTCATGTGAAGCATGCGGATGACTCTGTTGTATTTGGATGCCAAGCTAAACATTACGAAAGGACCCTTAACATATCTACAAATGTTGTATGCACAGACTTGTATGTTGAACAGTCGCACGTGTTTTATAAAGATACTTACCTATGTAGCAGGAACCAGGAGACTTACAAAGAGGGTCCAGTTTAAATTGACCACGACGCATCAAGCGATGGAAATAAAAATGATAGGTGTAACGTTGAGAGACAAGAAGAAAGCAGAGTGGATCAGGGAAAAAACAGGGGTTAAGGATATCATAGTTGATATCGAAAAGAGGCCGGGCATGTAATGCGTAGGCAAGATAACCGCTGGTCATTAAGGGTAACTGACTGAATTCCCAGAGAAGGTAAGTGGATTAGGGGGAGACAGAAAGGTAGGTAGGCAGATAAGATTAAGATGTTTGCGGGTATAAATAGGCAGCAGCAAGCACAGGACCGAGTTGACTGGCGGAACATGGGAGAGGTCTTTGTCCTGCAGTGGACGTAGTCAGGCTGATGATGATGAACGATTCCATGAGAAACATGGTTATTACCAACATCGGAAGCTGTAGGCTGAAATGCAGCACTTGTGCTTGCAAGGATGGTAGGCCTGGATCCCTGGATATTGCTGCGTAGACCAAGTACTTCAGTGGATGTTGCCTAACTGCAATTGACGCCAACCCGACGTGACACCTGTATCGTTAGAGTACATATGTAATTTTTGTAAAATAAGTTGGGTTAGCACCACAGCCACGATTAATGTGTCACCAGCATTAAGCCGACATAAGATTAACATAGAGAACGTTGTTGTAAGAAGGGCAGATGAATGTCCCATGGACACAGCTTCCGTGGTGGAAACGTTGCCCACAGCGACATCCCGTGTTCGATTTGTCGACGCAATATTGAGACTTCCCGGTGCTGCAACACGTCAAGAGTGATGGCTACACCATCGCATCCTGTTAGCCTCAAAGGGGCAAACGCGCTTCATTAGATAATAATTAGCCCCTGTAAGCTCTACAAGCTGCAAGAATGTGAATGCTTGGTTCGTTATACATCAGTTCACAGAAGCTCCTCATGCGATGAGGGAGGTGATTTGGGCTTGTTAGTATGGTAGCATGATGGTAGTTTACTGGTATGATGGTAGTCTGTTGGTGTGGCAGATTTATTGTAGTCTGCTCTACCATCAATGACCATGCTCCTCTTGCGCACTATAGCGTGCGTGCAGGGAGAGGGGGGAAGTGATTTTAAATTAGGAAAAAAAAATGCTAAATTAACCCCGCAACTGTCTGCGGCAAAGTGCGACACCTCAGTAGTGGTTCGCAAGAGAAGGGATAAGGAGGAAGTAAAAAAAATTGGGAGAAGAGTAAAAAAAAGTGGAGACAGTGAGAGCAGTTCGCAGACGGGGCCCCGATCGGTGAGCGGTCGGAACAGAGGACATTGAAGACCAGTCAGCCACTAAATTCACCGGGCGTCTTGGGAAATCCTACAAACAAGTGTCTTTTAACGATACGTATGTCCATTTGTTTCAGCCGCTAGAGGAAAGAAAGGGGCCAGGTGCAGCAAAATACCCACGAACTTCCGAGCCCCCTGCCGGCGATATGCGCGATTTTGGTTCTTCGACTTCGCGTTGCAAACGTGTAAAATGTACCTCTCCGGAAGATGTGGTGGAGCCACTGACCACTTTGCCTCGGAAAGAATGTGCCAGAAAGTGTGCCTACGTAAGTACAATTGAGTTGACGCACTTATTGTCGCTTATCGCAAGAGCTGCTGTGAACTCACAAGCAACAGGAGATTTTTGTGGCGTATAGTTTTCCATAGCCGTCGGTGTGCAGCGTGGAAACTTGGGAAAATTGATAGAACATAACTGAATTAGAGTTAGGTAAAGGTACAGCATATACAGTAACTCTAAACTTAATGTACGAACAGTGCAACCTAGTAGTTACAGCGTAACGATAAAAGCGAAAAGACAAGGATAGAAAAGAGCTCTGACTTTCAACAATGAATTAATCGAAGGATCAATCAAATTTCTTCGTTCCATCTAACTCGCTGCCTTCCTCTGCTTGTTTCATTTTCTTTGGTCTCGAACCGATGCTTGCGATCGGCGCTCAAGTGACCACCGGTTCGAAATTTGCAACTGACCAACACATCTCCCGAAATCCGCGCTTTATCCTGTGGTGTACACGTATCCCGAAGGAGTACGGCCACCAGCGTGGGTCCGGTCTTAGCGAGCCGCAGGGCACGCGTTAACCGTCGCCGTGGCGGGAAACACGATACTGCTCAAGTCGCAACACTTTATTGTGGCAACACCAACGCAGTACAGCCCGTTGCAAAAAGGCGCGGCGGGAAAGCAAGTAGGCTTATCCACGCCACGGGCACAAAGTACTACACAGGGGTGCCACGAGCACGTCTCCGCGGTAAAGGTAATCCACGGAGACACCGGGACAAAGGGGCCCGGTTGCTCGAGCGAGGGCAAAGGCGCTCGCGTTGGCTTCGAAGGGAGACGGGTCGGCGTAGCTAGGCCACGCACTAGGACACCGTACTGCCCTTCGGCCGTGAGTACGCAGCGGGGCAACAAAGGTGAGCGTTCGCATCGGGCGCGAGGCGCCGTCAGCGAAGTCCGACGAGCCCCCGACTGACGGGAGTCGACGGACGAAAAGATAGCGTGGCTCACCGTTTGCTGTCCCGGAGAGTATCTGACCGCTCCCGACGCAGCGCGCGAAAACCTCCCAGGGGTCCCCGCGCGCGGCGCCACAGTCAACATCCGCTACCGGGTGAGGGAGTTATACGTCACTCCGCCCTTCCCAGCGCGGCAGACAGCAAGGAGGGCAGACATGTCGGGACATGAGAACGGCAGAAAAGGCGGGAAAGCCCGCTTAAAGGCAGCGGGCCAGCCTCAATTCCCACATCCCCCTCTCCTAAATTTGCCCTTTACCGGTCTGCAAAAGGCAGCCGGGCGTCACCCATGCAGTTAAAATGACACTGCTATAAGCGACAGCTAACCTCAGTCCAGCCCTGCTACTGCTGCTAAAAAATGATTACAAGGAGAAACAAAACATAAATAACAAAATAAACACATGACACTATACAAATAACTGCGGAAGGGAGCACAGCAACGTGGCACTAGTGTTCGTGGTGCTGAAGGGGGATAGCGTCCAGTGCGCGGAAGGGCGGTAAAGGCGTGACAGTGTCCGCTGGGTGCGATGCCCGAGTGCGAGGTCAGAGGTACGGGAGGGGGCTCACTGATGGCTCGTTGCTGGTCTTGATAAGCAGCGAGTCCGACGAACGCTGCCTCGGCTGTGCTTCGGAGGCCCCCGCATTTCTGGCTCGATGATGAAGCTGGAACGTTGCGCGAAGCTGGGCCCCTCCAGTGCTCAGGGAGGCCGACCCAAATTGGCTGCGAATGGCGTTGGCCGGCAGCATATAGCTGCTTTCAGCTGGCCTCGCGCAGGAGCCATGGTGGTAAAGGCAGCGGGGCTTCTTCGACGACGGCCGAGAGCAGAGCACAGCCAGATGGTCTGACGTCAGTGGGTCAATGCCCCCCCCAGCACCTCCAGTGTCCGCATCGATGGGGGGGGAAGCCGACGCACTCTTCGCGGGCTCGCACTGAAGCGTCACGCACTTACACACGCACAGAAGCACGCACGCACACACACCGCCGACAGCTGCGCGAGCGTAGGCGCAAAGCGTCCTTCGTCTCTCTCTCTCCCGGCAAGCACCGACACGCAAGGTCACACACAGCTCCCTTCGCGGTTGACGAAACGAACACGAAAAAAAAGTAAAAACAGAGCAAAACGACACTCAACATCTGACAAAAAACATAAAATACAAATATCACTTAATATTAGACAAAAGAAACAAAATACACATGAACACTTAAAAAAAAAAGAACCACTGGCAGCAGACAGAGCGGGGTCAACTTCTTTACGAGAAAAGGCCGTAAAGAAGCTAACGTATACTGAGGCTAGACAGTAAACTGAGGGTTTTCGGTTGCGGAGAAGTCCGCCGTCCGGCGCGAAATCACAAAGGTGACCGCTTCCTCAGATTATACCGGCGCGGGGTCCGAATGCGGTCCGCCGCTCCGGGTGTGCCCCGTTGCTGGCGCGCAGTGCCGCAGGGCTCTGGCGCGAGCTCGTCAGACCGTGATACAAAGGGTTTCAGGTCTACGATGTGGGCACGGCTGAGTTTTCCCAAAGGGGATCTTTCAGCTAGTACGCGCCACGGACGCTCACTGACAATCGGTTCATAAGACCGGGCGGCTTTCCAACCCTTGGCTCAACCGTTTGTCAGACGTGGCAGGCACGGAATAGCGATAAAAGCCACGCTTCGTGCCGGGCCAGGTCACAACATTGCTCAGTTTGCAAAAACTTTCGAGCCACTCAGGTGACCGGCCATGGGTTCGTCGAGAGAGGATCGCAACAGTGCGGCTCTCAGACTTTTGGGCATAGCCACCTTAAACGGGTCTATGGACTCGTCGTCAGTGGCTATATATTTCAGCAGGAGCCCGTCATGGTCCAGCAAAATGAATCCGCCGAGGACTCAGCGACACACGCTGTTTCAGCCCCCTAATCGCGCCCGCCGCAGAACAAGCAGCGTAACGGCGCTCCGCGCCTCGTCAAGACGGTTTGACGGCGCCCGCCGCAAAGCAAGCAGCGTATACGGCGCTCCGTCCCTCCGAGACTCGAAACGGATCACTCTGCTGAGCCTTCAGTAGCTCTTCGCTGCCGAAAGCAATTTCCATTCTCCCAAATGGGGGAGTCTGGTATCGCGCCCACTCAGGACCGCAGCAACCGCCGCGTGAGTCGGCGTCACGGGTTCGCTCTCGGCCTCGTGGCCTTCGGAAAGCTCCCCCGCTCGGCCGCTTCGCGGTGCGCCGCTTACCTGGATAGCAGCCAAGGTTTGTCCGCATGGGGACTCACCCTCCTCGCCGAATGGCGGCAAAGCTGCTGTTTCGCCCCCGACGCCTGCATGTGCTAAGACACCGCGAGCGGCCGTCGCACCGAAATCCAGGTTCTCGGCAGACAACAGGGGGCACGAGATAGCGCGTCAGCTACCACGTAACGGTGTATTCACCACAAAAAAGGGGTGACGACACAGGCGAGCGCCGAGACGCGCCCGTCGATAGAGGCGGTGGCCTCTTGCTGCAACGCGGCATGCCACGAAGCAGACATGTTGCGACGAGCCCGATTCGCGCAGGCGAACTGACTCGCTAAGAGCAGTCAAAAGCTAGAGCTTTTGATACCGCGTTGGGCGCCAGTGTGGTGTACACGTATCCCGAAGGAGTACGGCCACCAGCGTGGGTCCGGTCTTAGCGAGCCGCAGGGCACGCGTTAACCGTCGCCGTGGCGGGAAACACGATACTGCTCAAGTCGCAACACTTTATTGTGGCAACACCAACGCAGTACAGCCCGTTGCAAAAAGGCGCGGCGGGAAAGCAAGTAGGCTTATCCACGCCACGGGCACAAAGTACTACACAGGGGTGCCACGAGCACGTCTCCGCGGTAAAGGTAATCCACGGAGACACCGGGACAAAGGGGCCCGGTTGCTCGAGCGAGGGCAAAGGCGCTCGCGTTGGCTTCGAAGGGAGACGGGTCGGCGTAGCTAGGCCACGCACTAGGACACCGTACTGCCCTTCGGCCGTGAGTACGCAGCGGGGCAACAAAGGTGAGCGTTCGCATCGGGCGCGAGGCGCCGTCAGCGAAGTCCGACGAGCCCCCGACTGACGGGAGTCGACGGACGAAAAGATAGCGTGGCTCACCGTTTGCTGTCCCGGAGAGTATCTGACCGCTCCCGACGCAGCGCGCGAAAACCTCCCAGGGGTCCCCGCGCGCGGCGCCACAGTCAACATCCGCTACCGGGTGAGGGAGTTATACGTCACTCCGCCCTTCCCAGCGCGGCAGACAGCAAGGAGGGCAGACATGTCGGGACATGAGAACGGCAGAAAAGGCGGGAAAGCCCGCTTAAAGGCAGCGGGCCAGCCTCAATTCCCACAATCCCAAAATCCGCGATTTTATCCTATAGTGTTCATGCATTGAGAAAACAACGGCTACAGTTCGTGAATCGCTATATATGTACCAAGCGTTAATTGAAAAGCTGATAGGCGCGATATTCGTTAATTAACCACAGATTAGCGTGATTTTCATCATTTATGCACGTTTGTCAAGCCTGAGAGATGTCTTTTTAACTAAAAAAATTCTTTTTCCCGAGAAACCTTACGTTAAATAATATTGTGAGTAAATTTAGTGCAAACTTGGTAATCTCTCAGAACACTCAAACATCCACACTGGCTTCTTCTCAAGAAACACACACACAGCGCTGTGTTGTGTGTGTTTTGAGTGGAAGCTAACCTGGATGTGGGGGTGTTTCTATAGAGATTACTAAGTTGCAGTATAAATTTACTCATAATATGACGAATTACCAACTGGCCAAACAACTAGCTTTCAATAAACTCACGTTCAAGAATTTAGATAGCTTTGTCGGACGCATCTAGTGAATAGACGCATAAATAATTACTGACCTCTCGCAACAACGTTACCACTGACCTAATCGTGTCTGCAGCGCCAGAGAGGCAGAAACTTTCCTGCAGCGTGGTGCCAGAGCAAGGACCATGCCACAAGGGGCCTAGAAACACATGGTACTTCAATTTTGCCGCTGGCCTCTGCACTCGCATTCTGAGCGCTAACTGTTCCGTCGGTGCAAACAGCTTCCCATCCTGTGAAGCTTGCACGAAAGGTTGCACCACTAAGTATCTGCTTGTGGTGTCAAATATCCTTTAAAAAAACAACAACAAAGGTCTCTTGCTGTTCTATGGCTTCCTGTATAGATCCGGCCTGCGTGAGGAACGTGTAGATTTATGGCATTTTTTTTTGCAAACCGTACATTCTGCATTGGCTGCGATACGTGTTCAGGAGACGATCACAAGGTCCGCGGACACTACACGGGTAGTCGCTCACGTGGCTGCACATTTGGGCTCCCAAAACGTAGCGAAAATCGGCTGATAGTTAGCTATTGTAAACCAAGTTATCACGAGCAAAAAGTACACATTTGGCTCGGTTTCACAAAAAAACTATGCACACAGACGGCAGCTGCAGTATAGGTTGGATATCGGCATTCTCTCACGCTTGGTAAACTTCTCTCTGTAACGTGCTGATATGGCCTCCCTCTGCTCCGGTGTTTCAACAGCCAACTTTGCCTTTGCTTGAGATTTCGTAGCATGTTACCGTCGATTGAAACCACCGATAACACGCTTCGTTATATCGAGGTTTAAAACACGCGGTGTTTTGTTTGCATGAGGTTGTGACAAGTGGAATGTTAAAGTTCGTTATATCGGCGTCGTGCTTGACTGTTGTTCTCTAAAACAGCCTATTCGAGCGCCAAAAAGCCGACACAAATCAATTACTCAATGGTAAAGGGACTAGTGCAAGCTGCTTATCACGTGGTTTATGCATAATATCTGCACCACTGTATTCTGCTAAAGCCTTTCTTTATTCTCCAGATGCTAATGCACATGAAGCCTGCTCTTGGGCTGTACCGAACCCGGAAGACTTCCTACCGAAGAAGCCGAAATAGACAAGCTGCTCTGCTCCGCTGTTTTCAAAAAATGCCAAGGAGATCCCTCGACTTCGACCGCACCACCGTATTATGTTCGTCTCATCACAAACTCTTCACACGTGCGGGTCTGAAGGGACTATCCAAACTTGCCTTCGATCCGGCATGCCTGCCACTCCATGGATGACATATAAAAGCCAGTCGTGCACTAATGCAGTTTGTGAACGCTGGCCCAAATGTCGAATGTTCTGTGCGCGTGTAGTGCTCACTCTCTCCATCTTTTCATTCCCTTACCCCTAACGTCGGGTAGCAAACCGGGCGATCGTATACAGTGGACCTTTCATATCCTTCCTCTCCTTGCTTTCTTCACTTTCTCCTTTAGCCAAAACGTGTAATATTGTATGTTGCTGAATACAGAAGTTAGCGTATCTCTCTCTCTCTCCTACGTAAGAACAGTCACAACGGAAGTGTATTTCTAAAGTTTCGGCCAGAATCCGGCCTTATTCCGGATTAACGCCAGACTGTCCGAAACTGTTAAAATACAGTTCCCTTGTGACTGTTCCTATTGACGAGAGCACGCCTATCTCGCACCCAGGTGCCTTCGGCGGTATACCCTCGCTCCCATGCAGAGACGCCATAATTTGTTTGCAACTGCCAAGGCGTGCCTCGCTAGCATGGAATGCAGTGGCTCTGGGAGTTTAAAAAGCGAAAACGCGCCTGTTCACGCTGCGCCGCTTTATAATCTGATGCGACAACCAACGCAAGAGGAAGAGAGAGAGCCGAGCACTGCCTGTGAAGTTCACAGCGCATCGCGGGAGTCATGCCGGTGCGGTGTTTTGCGATTGCACAGACGTTCGTCCGCAACGAAAAACGCCGAGCTCAGCCGCCTTAGGATATGATCGCAATCGAGAGGGAAAATTACGAACCCAGTAAAGTGTACGAGTAAGCACACTTATTGCGTTTATTCAAGCACCGCTCCAGCTGTACCATTTTACAGCAGCGACTTGCGTACAGTATGCCTGTAGTATGCAGTACAAATTATTGCCGTTGTAGTAAAGCCTTTGAACAGTGGGTCGTCCTCTCCAGCGCCTTCTAGTGAGTCGCCCTTTTCATAAGAAGAAGAGCAGCTCGTGCAGAGAGTCGGTCCCCGCATTGACTGTCGCTGTCGTGAATCATCGCGAAGTGTCCGCCAATAAACCTCTTAACAATTTGTTGGAGAGTGCTGAGAGTGCTGTGCCCTTCAAACACCTTCGGTCCGAATTCGGTGCCCTTGGAGCTTCGATCCCGTACCGTGCCTTCAACCATGCACCAAGACGCCGCACAGCAAACGCTTCCTCCTACGCCGACGCCATGTCCTGGTGTCCCCCGCATCCGCGACCCTCCTGTCTTCACCGGCGCGGATGGCACCGACGTCGAGGACTGGCTGGCCATGTACGAACGCGTGAGCGTCCCCAACCATTGGGACGAGGCAGGTAAACTCGGCAACCTGTTTTTCTACCTCGCGGGTGTGGCCGGCATATGGTACAACAACCACGCATCTGATTTCCCGACTTGGTCCGCTTTTAAAACCGCTGTCGTTGACGTGTTCGGCCGTCCGGCCGTTCGTAAGCTGCAAGCTGAACAGCGTTTACGTGAACGAGCCCAGCAGACCGGTGAGTCCTTCACAAGTTATATCGAGGACATCCTTGACTTGTGCAAGAAAGTCGACCTGAACATGTCAGAGGCTGACAACATCACGCATGTTCTGAAAGGCATCGCCGACGATGCCTTTTCCATGCTCCTGGCAAAGAACCCCCGCACTGTGGCAGAAATCATTACGTTATGGCAAAGTTACGACGAGCTGCGGCGGCAGCGCTTGATGACCCGTTGACCGCCACCACGTGATGCTGATCTCTCGGCCTTGTGAGCAGTTCCTGACCACGCAACTTTGCTCGCCGAAATCAAGTCGTTCGTGCGTGAGGAAGTTGCCCGCCAGGTCTCTTTACTGGCTTTTGCTTCCCCACAACATGCTCAACAGCCATAAAGTACACTTCTACCTCCGCTCCGCCGAGCCATTCAGCAGGAAATCGCGGAGGTCGTCCCTAAATACCACCAGCCACCTCCTGCATCTGCGCCACTCAGCTACGTCCAAGTTGTCGCCAGGCCGCCCCCACCGATTTCTGTCGCCGTTCCCCTAAATTACACCGAAACCGTCGCGAGGCCCCAGGCCTTTGGAGAAACTGTCTCGCCTACATACGCCGGCGTCAACCACGTGCCCCGAGTGCCGCCTAACATGCACTCATATCAGCAGCCGGCTCGCCAATCGCGTTCTGCGACATGGATGGGACCCGCAAACCGATGGCGCACTGCTGACAATCACCCCATCTGCTTTGCTTGTGGTTGCGTCGGTCATGTTGCACGCTATTGCAATCGTGTGCAGCAACCGCAGGTCGCCTCCAACTTTCCCAGCCAGTCAAGCCGCTCTTATGACCAACCGCCGCCTATGTCACCGTCGTCCCGCCCTGTTCCATCTACCCGCCGTTCACCATCTCCACGACGTCGCTCACTGTCGCCGATGCGGCCACGTCCACTCGAGGGCGACCAGGAAAACTAGTCGTCGCAGTCCACGAGGCAAGGGCTGCGACGCTGTCGAACTGCGGAAGCCCTCAGGAAAGCCCGTCGAACGTGATAGACGTGTTTGTGGATGGTGTTCGTGCATCTGCCCTTGTAGATACTGGAGCCGCCGTATCCATGATGGACGCAAAACTTAGCCGATTACTGCGCAAAGTGACCACGCCGCTTTGCGGGCTCTCCCTCCGTACAGCCAGCGCCCAAAGCATTCAACCTAAAGCGATGTGTACAGCCCGCCTCATGATTCAGGACGTGATGTATGCCGTCGAATTTATCATAATTTCTTCATGTTCTCACGACGTTATCCCAGGATGGGATTTTCTCTCCCGCCACGACGCCGTCATTCATTGCGCACCAGCAGAAATAGAACTAACGCAATTCTCTTCTTTGACGCCGGCCGACAGTCCATCTGCTGCAAGCAAATTACTCGTTAGAGACGACACTCAAGTGCCTGCAAACTCGTCCGTGGCGGTGTCGCTCTACTGCGCAAGGCTTTCTGACACAGCTGCACTCCTCTCGCCATCTGATCGTGTTTTCATAAGAAAAAGCTTGCTGGTTCCTTTCGCTACCGTGCAACTCACTCACGGCAGCACCACTATTTTTGTTGTGAACTCATCTCCGTACAGCGTTACGTTGGTGCGAGGGGAATGTCTCGGCAGCGTGGTATCCATTGAAGACGCGCAAGTTATGAATCAACCCGATGACATGCACTGCTCAAGTTCCTGTACGCTTAGTGCTGTTTCGACATCTGCTTCATCATCCGATGATGTATTCGGTCCCTCCATAACCGACGACCTTACACCGGTCCAGCGTTCACAGCATTTTGGCCTGTTGGAAGAATTCCGCTCTTCTTTCGATGTCACTCAACCTTCTCTCGGCCGCACATCCACCGTTACGCATCGCATCGGCACAGGCGCACAGCCACCGCTGCGGCAACGTCCATATCGCGTATCTCCCACAAAACGCCGCGTAATCAACGAGCAAGTCGACGACATCCTTCGCCGCGATGTTATTCGCCCCTCTAGCAGCCCCTGGGCATCTCCTGTCGTTCTCGTCACGAAGAAGGACGGTTCTGTGCGGTTCCGTGTAGACTACCGACGCCTCAACAAGATCACTCGTGAGGACGTGTACCCACTACCACGGGTAGATGACGCGATTGACAGCCTGCAAAGAGCAGAATTCTTTTCATCCCTCGATTTGCGCTCAGGGTACTGGCAAGTACCTATGGCTGAGGACGCTCGACCGAAGACCGCTTTTGGCACTCCAGACGGCTTGTACGAATTCGACGTCATGCCGTTTGGGCTGTGCAATGCGCCCGCCACCTTCGAGCGCATGATGGATACTGTTCTGCGTGACCTGAAATGGCACACGTGTCTGTGCTACCTCGATGACGTCGTCGTTTTCGCTCCTGACTTCTCGACGCATCTTCAACGCCTTCGGCATGTTTTAACGCGCCTCAGCGACGCCAGTCTGCAACTGAACCTAAAGTAGTGCCGATTTTCAGCTCGGCAGCTGACAATACGCGGCTACGTCGTGTCCAAGGACGGAATTCTCCCTGATCCAGCCAAGCTTCGGGCCGTGACCGAGTTCCCCAAGCCGACATCCGTCAAGGAACTGCGCAGTTTCATAGGACTGTGTTCCTACTTTCGGCGCTTCATTCGAAACTTCGCGACTATCATATCGCCGCTGACGAAACTTCTCGGAAGTAATCGGCCTCTCCATTCGTGGTCATCACAGTGCGACGACGCTTTCACAACACTTCGTCCTTTGTTGACGTCACCTCCCATACTCCGCCACTACGACCCTACGGCCCCTACAGAGGTACACACGGATGCCAGTGGTGTCGGCCTCGGCGCTGTCCTTGCGCAGCGCAAGCCAGGGTTCCCGGAGTATGTCGTGGCGTATGCAAGCCGTACGATTACTAAAGCCGAGACTAATTACACAGTCACCGAGAAAGAATGTTTGGCAATCGTCTGGGCCCTTGCAAAGTTCCGACCTTATTTGTATGGTCGCCCATTTGATGTCGTCACCGACCACCACGCACTATGCTGGTTGTCGTCATTGAAAGATCCCTCAGGCCGTCTCGCCCGGTGGGCACTTCACCTGCAAGACTATGATATCCGCGTGCTGTACCGCAATGGAAAGCAACATGCTGACGCCGACGCCCTGTCGCGCTCTCCCTTGCCTGACGACAATGCCCACGACTCAGCGTCCCAACTTTCCGTTTCTTCCATTAGCATTCATGCCGTTGCTACTGAACAGCGCAAAGATCAATGGATTGCCTCACTGATAGACTTGCTGACTGGTCCATCCACTCCATCCACTCGCGCGTTGCGTCGTCAAGCCCACCATTTCGCCGTTCGCGACGACCTTCTCCACCGACGCAATTACAACGGTGACGGCCGCCAGTGGCTACTAGTCATACCCCGCAGTCTGCGCTCTGACATATGCGAATTCTTTCATTCTGATTCGCAATGTGCACACTCCGGGGTATCGAAGACTTACCACCGCATTCGCCAACGGTACTTTTGGCGCGGCATGTACCGCTACGTGCAGAAATTCGTTCGCTCCTGCATAGAATGTCAGCGCCACAAAACTTCAAAGCACCTGTCGCCGGTAGGCCTGCAACCTCTACCTTGCCGTTCCAGGCCGTTTGGGCGCATTGGCATTGATTTGTATGGGCCACTTTCACTAACGTCGGCTGGTAACCGCTGGGCCATTGTTGCTGTGGACCACTTCACGCGATACGCCGAAACTGCCGCTCTCCCCGAGGCAACAGCGAGCCATGTGGCCTCCTTCCTGCTCCAATGATTCATGCTG